ACTTCCGTTTACATATTCGTTATTTCCGTTTAATTCTATCCCTACACAATTCATTATGCCATTACTATTATTACCATTACCATTCCCAAAAACTTTATAAGAATTATTATTTTTATTATGATAATACGCAGTAGGATCACCCATTACTTCATCCTCCTCTCTATTCTTCAACCACTCCAATACTTCTTCTCCTTTTGATTCGATCTCATCTATCAATTCTTCTAAATGTTGTTCATTAATTGTAGGCGCATTAACTACCACACGAAAAAACACGGGCAATTCACGAGCCGCCAATTTCATCGGTGCATAATCAATCATAAATTTTCCGGTTTGAGAAACGCGTTGGTGAATTTCTTTAGTGATTGCTGTTATTTTTTGTTTGTACGTGTCATAGTCTGTGTGTTCAAGTTCTAAGGGAAAATCTTTTGGAATGTACCAGAAACATATTTGTAGCGTGGGTGGTGGAGATAAAACAAGTCGAAAACGATGATGGTTTATTAATAATGACGTTAAATAATGTGCCATTTTGAAAGCGTGTTCGATTCTCTCCTTATATCCTTCCATCCCGTAAAATTTCCATCCTAAAAATAATTTCACAGCATCAGGTCGTCTTCCACATCCTACAGCACCATCTCCTAAATCATACTCATTCCCATGAAAAAGATATCCAGCTCCTAGTGCATTCGATTGTACAAAAATTTGACGATCACGAGCCAAAAGAAAAGAACACAGTAATGGTGTGCCGAGCATTTTATGCGGATTTAATGTAAATGTATCAGCCTAATAAAAATAATCACTGTTAGATAACAATAAAAATAATACGAATATAATTAATACGAAATGAACAAAACAAACCAATTCTGATCCATCCAGCCAATAACGTCTTTTCTCAGAAAATATTAAATTTCCACCCCAAGAACCATCAATATGAAACCAGAGATTATAACGTTTGGCTATCTTACCGATCGCTCGAAGTGGGTCAAATGCACCCTATATGGAAC